GCCGCCGCGATGCACGAACCGGGCGTCAGGATGAACGGCTCCTCGCCGGGTGAGCTGTGCTGGCTCTTCTGCTGCCCGCCCTGCCCGAGCCGCATCGCCGCCAAGCTGGCCTTCCTGCCGCCCGAGCCCACCTACACGGTGCTGGCGCCCGAGCAGCGCGGCCCCGGCGCCCCCGCCCCGGCCTCGGCCGCCGCCACCGCCGCGGCCCAGCCGGCGCCGCAGCAGCCCGAGGAGGGCGCGGGCTCGGGGCCCGGCGCGTGCAGCCTGCACCTGAGCGAGCGCGCCGACTGGCAGTACTCGCAGCGCGAGCTGGACGCCGTCGAGGTCTTCTTCTCGCGCACGGCCCGGGACAACCGGCTCGGCTGCATGTTCGTGCGCTGCGCGCCCTCCAGCCGCTACACGCTGCTCTTCTCGCACGGCAACGCCGTGGACCTCGGTCAGATGTGCAGCTTCTACATCGGCCTCGGCTCGCGCATCAACTGCAACATCTTCTCCTACGACTACTCGGGCTACGGCGTCAGCTCGGGCAAGCCCTCTGAGAAGAACCTTTACAACGACATCGACGCCGTGTGGCAGGCACCGTGCATCGGAAGTGAGAAGAACTACAATGCTGCAACCTGTGGAACAAAAACCACATTGACAGAAAGATAGACAAGATGAAAAGGCAGAGGACTATGTACCAGATGAAGGAACAAGACCCCGCGGCCGCCGTGGATTCTCTTTTCTTCTCGCTCCCTGGCTTTCTCTCACCCCCTCCAAAAACTCCGCCAGCCCTCGGGTTCCTGGAGAGTTCGGATTCGGACGATTTTGCCTGCTTTGGCGCGCCCGGGTGCCCCCGATCCACCGGCTGGGTCTTTTGTGGTTCTGGTTACCGCAAGTGGCACCGTTGGGGTGCTTAAATACCGGGCAGCAACAGCTTGGTTCGCTTTTAGTTTGTGTGAGCTGGCAGCCAGGGGCTGGAGGTCTTCAGGCTGAAGTGACCTTGGGCAAGGCGCGCGAGTCTCATACCTCTGTTTCCTTCCTTGTAAAATCAGGGGGCGAGACGGGAAGACTTCCAAAAGACGTTCCGGTTGTAAAGTGCTCGTCGGGGCCGTGTCTGGGCATCCGTGGAGTCAGCCGGAGGGTCGGGTGGTGTGAAGTTTGTCTCCTGGTGGGGCTGAGTAGCTGGCACTGCGGGCAGGGAGTTAGCTTGTGCCTGTGGGCCTGGCATCTTCCTCAGAGCCTCAGTAAAAACCCAGGATGAGTTGGAATCTTAGGTTACAGGGTTTGGGGAATCTCTTGACCTTGAGTTAGCATTCACAGGAGAACTACAAAGTATTTTATCGAGGGAGGGCCTTTTTTGTGCAAGGCAGAAATTGGGGGCGTGGTTTCGGGGCTAGACCTCGTAAGACCAGCAAACAAAACTTGAGTGTTAGTCCGAGTGAGGCAGAAGTCTGGTAAGTGGGCAAGTCGTGTCACCTGTTTGTGCTCCGGTTTGGGTATCTATGATTTTGCCCCAGCCACCTGGTAGCAGGGATGGTGAAAATACCTGAGATCATGTCTCCTGTGACATCCGATTGCTTCAGATGAAAGAGTCCCCAGAATAAGTTTAATTGGCACTGTTATGGCTATTGACACGTATAGTCTTTATCTACAATAAAGACTTTGCTCGGCTCATACAGACTGCCAACATTAGTGATTTTTGTCTCCATTCCTGTTCATACATATGCTCATAAGTTACCCTGTGCCTTTCTGGGAAAATGACTTGTTCAACAGGGAAGTACTTAGGATTCACTGTGTTGCTTATTCACGTTCTCCTGAAGTCCTGAAGGAGTTCATTTGGATGATAGCTTTTTGAAAGTGGTTTAGGCTGAGATGGTACCATAGGCAGAGACACTGAGTCAGAATCTACAAGTTAAAAAGCCACCTGTTCCAGTAAAGGGTATGTGTGTCACACACAATCAGTAGATTGCTAGAATTTGCTGTTGGTAAAGGTATTAAAAATAAGGGTTGGCATTAGATCTTTTAAAAGTGAAACATTAAAATCCTACCTTGAGTAGATTTTATGATAAAATTTCTGCAGAACACTGTTCCTGTACGTGCCTGTCTGGATTAGAATGAAATCCTTTCAGATATGCGTGTCTGGATTAGAATGAAATCCTTTCAGATGTAAGGCTAACCCTTTGCCCTGAATATGCAGGTGTGTCTGTGTTACAACATATGTGAGGCATAGTTATTTCCTGGAGACTTGTCATATTTAATTTAATTAAGGGCATTGTTTTAGGTAAGGTTAAATTTTGAATTATGTGCTGGTATAGCTTAACTTTGCCCAGGATTTATTTACCTTTATACAAGAACTCATGTCTAGATTGAGTTACTCACCTGTAAAATAGGTTAGAACTTAAAGGCTAAGTGAGAACCTTAGGATTTGAAGAAACCTTTCACATCTTCTTGTCCTGTGCTTTTCAAACTTTTTTGGATTGTGACCCCACAATAAGAAACACATTTTACATCTAGATCAAGCGCACACATACACATCTGTGTCTAAATATCAGAAGCAAATGTCTCACAAAACAATATTTTTGCCTGTGGGCAATACACATGCAGACTATGTTTGTTTTTTTTTTTAAGTAAATATATTTATTTATTTTTTGACTGTGTTGGGTCTTTGTTGCTGCGCGCGAGGTTTCTCTAGTTGCGGCGTGCGAGGTTTCTTTAGTTGCGGCGAGCAGGGGCTACTTTTCGTTGTGGTGCGTGGGCTTCTCATTGCAGGGGCTTCTCTTGTTGCGGAGCACAGGCTGTAGGCACGTGGGCTTCAGTAGTTGTGGTGTGCAGGCTCAGTAGTTGTGGCTCACAGGCTCTAGAGCGCAGGCTCAGTAGTTGTGGTGCACGGGCTTAGTTGCTCCGCAGCATGTGGGATCTTCCCGGACCAGGGTTCGAACCCATGTCCCCTGCATTGGCAGGCAGATTCTTAACCACTGCGCCACCAGGGAAGGCCCACTATGTTCTGTTTTATTTCATATTTTTTTTTTTTTTAAGAAGGAGAAAAAGAATGCTGGTTGTGAAGGACTAAGTTTATTTTCCATATCATTTATGGACACTGTCCTTGTGCACCCTCATTTGACGGAGAACTGGGGATGAGCAGTAGGTCTCTTGACTGCTAGTTTAGTACTCTTTCCACACCATGCAGTCCTATTTATCAGATTTCTCTAGAGGTGCATTTACATGTCTCAGTTATTCTAATAGGCTAGGAGTTACTTGACTCAGAAGCTAAGCAGTCCCTTAACCACCTCCTCTCTGCTCTCTGTAGTTTTTCTGCTCTAACCTTGCCTGGAAGATGCCCTCTTCTCTGCCCGTGTACAGCTCCGTTCAGGTCATTGCCACGGCAGCAGGACCTCACCCCCGCCCCCGCCCCCCGCCCCATGTACCCATTGTTCCGTGGCTGCCTCAGATCCCGTTTTCCACCCCCAGCCTTCATGTCTTCCTTGGGGATCTTTCTCTTTTCTGATCTCCTGATGAGAAGAGACACTCAGAACACTGCTCCGAACACTGATTGGAGAGCCCACCCTATCCTAAATCATCTCCATCTCTGCACTGTGTTATTCCCCCAGGAGGAATGTAAGGTGTATGTGTCAGTGCTGTGCGTCCCCCAAAGTACCCAGCCCAGTACTTGCCCTCCCTCCTCATACTCACACCCGGCCTTTTGTATATGCCCCGAATTCTCTATCCTGTCTGGATCCTGACTGGGTTCTGGGACCCTTGGTATTCCTGTGCACCTGGTACTCAGCTCCTTTACCTGCACTTATCACACTGTGTTGCTGTGTCCTGTTGTGTGACTGCATCCCACTAAGTTGAAAGTTCCTTGAGGGCAAGGACTCCCTGGCTTCTGTTTTCCCAACAACCGGCAAAGTGCCTTAAGATAAGAGACACTCATTAAATGTTTGTTTAATGGGTTGCACATACGGGTGCTCCATAAATAGATGGGATAGATTCAAATTTTCCTAATTTTCTTACAAAGAGTTGCATCTATTTTACCTCTAGGGTTTGGTATCCATGGGCATAACCATAGGCAAAGAAAGGGGTTACAGTGTGTTGGCTTGAGGTCTGATCCCCTTTGTATCTATTATATGCCCATGTTTGCAACATTGAAGTATTGAACAGAAGAGTAACAGTAACCCTTTTGTATTTCTCTTCATCCTTTCTCCATTACTTTCTGTGCATGCTCCAGTGAGCTGCCCAGTCCTTGATGGAGGACTTCAAACACAAGTACTACCTAGTATTTCCATGGGTAAAGGTAGCAAATTCCCTAAGTGATGAGCAGTAGAGTGGGCCAGTAATCTAAAATAAGGGTTTGGGGAGGAAGTAAATTCTAAGGCAAAAAAGGTGGTCATTGCTATTTGGCCAATAGATGATTATTTTAAGCATTTGAAAAATGACTGAAAAGGGTGTGGAAGAGGGGTGGGATTGGAAAGAGCCAGGGAGCGCATGGACTCAGCATGGAAGAAGTAAGTTGGTGTTTTATTAGGTTCGTACAGCTGTAGCAAAGTACCATAGACTGGGTGGCTTAAAAGCAACAAAAATTTCTCAGTTCTGGAGGCTGGAAGTCTGAGATCAGGGTGCCAGCATTGTCAGGCTCTGGTGAGAACCCTGTTCCTGGTTGCGGACTTCTCATTGTTTTCTCACACGGTGGAAGGGGCAAGGGAGCTTTCTTGGGCTGGTTTATAAGGGCACTAATCCCATTCATATGGGTTCCACCTTCATGACCTAGTCACCTTTCAAAAACCCCACCTCCTAATAACATCACCCGTGGGTTAGGTTTCAACATATGGGACATGTGCATGCATGCACGCCTGCGTGTGCACGCACACACATACGCAAACACAATATTCAGCCTACCGGCAGTTGGTTTTCATTTTATTTATTTTTAATTAATTAATTTATTTTTTGGCTGCATTGGGTCTTTGTTGCTGTGCGCAGGCTTTCTCTAGTTGCAGCGAGCCGGGGCTACTCTTCGTTGCGATGCGCAGGCTTCTCATTGCGGTGGCTTCTCTTGTTGCAGTTGCAGAGCACAGGCTGTAGGCGCGCGGGCTTCAGTAGTTGTGGCACGTAGGCTTAGTACTTGTAGCTTGTGGCCTCTAAGAGTAGTTGCAGTGCACAGCTTAGTGGCTTAATTACTCTGTGGCTTGTGGGATCTTCCCGTACCAGGGCTCGAACCCGTGTCCCCTGCATTGGCTGGCGGACTCTCAACCACTGCGCCACCAGGGAAGCCCGGCAGGTGGATTCTTAACCTCTGTGCCACCAGGGAAGCTCCTCGGCAGTTGGTTTTAGAAGAGAGAGAGACAGTTGAGAATCTAAACATGGTGGAGGCCTTGAAGGTTAGGGCATGTTTTACATTTGAGTTACTAATACGCTTTATAAGCATGTTGTGAATCCAAGCAATTGAGGGAATGAGTTGGAATCACTTAGAAATATTTGTAGAAAGGACACTGTGAAAATCAATGTAGCTTTATTGGAGGGTAGTGTTGTAATTTGAGCTGGTGTGATTAATTTGTGGAGTAAAGGCTGCCTGTTGGTTAAGGTGGGATTAAGTAGGCGGATTAAGTCTCCTCAGCA